AACTTGATGAAATCTTTCTATATGATGGCATCTATTTGCCAAAATACTTCTTTCCCGTTGATTTAGTACACTCAAGCTTGTGCTTCTCCAACAACTTAATCTAATCTGGGATATGTTCGGATACTGGCTGAGTGCGCATGTTCAGGAATTATTTTAAAGTTATGAAGATGTTGGCGGCAATAACTTCGAATAGCAATTGAGTTTGATTAGATTTTAAAGTATCCTCTTAACATGTTGCGATGGCTACACCACAATAATTACGAATAGAAGGCGATTTGTTAAAACACTTAGCTTTTGGTTTTCTGCGGACTATTGAACATTCTAGATACTGAGATTTTAAGAACTATCATTAGGGCAAGTGAGGGTCGGTCGATAACCCAATATAATGAGATGAGCTAATAAATACAAACAAATTTTACAAACTTGCTCCATTATATAGATTTTTCTACAAGTTCATGTTGATTTTTTTTCTTTTGAATATACTAGTCAACTTATTATACTCAGATAACTGGGCTTCAGAGGGTTAACCATAAATAACTTCATGTTTTTCTCACGATTTTCATCTTTTTCCTCCCCCTCCCTACTGTCTAACATCTTTCCAAAAAATCACATCCTACATTTAAAAAGATGTCACACCTCAGCGTGTGTCTGACCACACAATCCCTTTAAATGCTGAGCTAACTGAAACAGATGTACTCTACTTCACCTGCCTCGTGTCCGATTAAGTCGCAAAAGGCAACTTTAACTCTTGAAATGAATTCACACCTCAGCGTACATGTTTTTATCTTTTAAAAACATCGATTACTTTCTATATTATTTCTTTAGTTAGAACATCATTTGAGTACTACATTATTATACTTGTTACATTTTTAAGCTAACGTGCAATATCTATGAGAGACAAATTAAAAACAACTATCAATAATAAGTCACTCAAACCCGTACCACCCACAGTGGGAACTATTACACTATCATCACGGCCAGTTGGGCACATACCACAGGATGAAAATTTATTACACTATATTTTACTTTCAACCAGCATAAGAAAGTTAAGTTACGTGAATATTATATTAGATTAAGTAATATCCTAGTTTCATATAATAATTAAGGCATGAAATAGTTTTGTAAAGAAACTCTTTATTGGCCTAGATCTAGAATCCAGAAAGAGATAGATATGGCCCTAAGTCTAGTTTATTCGTGGTTCTAGATCTACACATATTCCTTTTATTCTCGAATCAGATGATTCGAGAAAATTTTTGATTGGAGAAAATAAAAAGTAAAGATATATTTCAAATATTTAAGGACTATTAAACTAGCCATGGGTACCCGTTTCACGTGAATTATAGGCACATATATTTTGAATGTTATATTTGTAAAAAGTAATTTATAAAATAGTCATTGTCGTAACGCAATATGTTTTACTACACGTTCGTCTTGATCAGTAGATTTATAGATCTAAATCAAATTTAAATGCAATAGCTAATTTCTTCATATTATAAAATTGGAAGATTACGCCATTAGTGTTGCGTATATTCCTTAGTTTAAACATGTGACATGTTTATGCGTTCTTGTCATAATTATAAACACTTTTCCGGTTACATAACTAATAATGTATTCCTACATTCGAATGTGTGTTTTTGTTTTCTTTTTTTTTAATAAAATTTAGTTTATATATTTAATACATTCAACATATTATTTTCAACGAAGACCGTATCATTAAATTCTCCATGTATCGCTGACGATACTGATATCTTAGCCTCGGGAAATATTTTGAGAGAGAGATAAGTGAGTAGTCTATCGGGTCCCCTTTGAGTCGCATGGTGTTGGCTGTGGCGGAGGAAACATGTTATAGAGTGAAATACTCCAGGGGGTGGCGGTGGTGCAGGTGGTGGCGGAGAGTGAGGGTTAGACATGTTATATAGTAAAATACCCCACCACCAGGTGGTGGAGGGGGTGGGGGAGAGGGACAATGATATATAGTAAAATACGAAGGGGGAGGGTGACGGTTAAAATAAGGCCCCGCCATTTGTTGCTTCAAAATCTCATTACTGTCGATTTTTTCGCTTGTTTTTTAATTAGATTGTTTTTAATTAGTTTGTTTTTAATTAGTTTGTTTTTAATTAGTTTGTTTTTAATTAGTTTTGTGATAAAAATAGCAAACCGACGTATCGTTAAAGTCATAGCCGACAGAACATTAGAAAATTAGCTTTAGAACGCATTAAACTTTTGAATAGGAAACACAATCTTCGATGGAGGTCGCCATCATTGTTGTAAAAAGTAAATAAATTATGTGAAGTAACTATTCACTCTTAGTAGTCATTTTTCTACACTTTTATAATTAATGTGGTTAATTTACCAATGAATAAATCAATAAATGAAGTAACGTCTTTAAATATATATATATATATATATATATATATATATATATATATATATATATATATATATATATATATATATATATATATAAAATCACAAAATACGAACATAGGATACTCATTGCTGGCCTGTTCGGGATTTGAAAAACATCAATTAAAAATGATTTCAACATCATGTCATGTGTGTAAGTCAGGGGTCGGCAACCTACTGATACGCAAGAGCCAAAAGTTACAATTTACAAACTTTCCAAGTTTTTAAAGAGCCACAACATATTTAGTTCAGTATTCGGTATTTGATTAGGATTAGGTTAATAGAGTTGATTTTTTATTTAAAATAAATAGCTTTAAATATCATATTAATATTTATTCAAACAAAAACATAGACATGTTGCGCCAGAATAGTAAAATTTAATAATCAAATAATATTATTCTCAATTTACTTTAGAAGCTGTTAATTTTTATTTTATTTTTTCTTTACGGATATCACCTGCTCAAGAGGTGTCTCCCATTAGCTACTCAGGCCTCAAAACGGCAAACGCCTCCTAACTGGCTTGGATATCGGTTTGAATTGCTTGCATCGTTCGCATCTATCCTTTGGTTCTCACCAGGCTTATCTTCTATCCCACTGAACACAGGGTAAAGTCGTACCACACCGTCCAGTAAAAATGAAATTATATAACTATAAATAATTGTGCAAGGAGGTGGAGAGCCGCATGTGGATGTCATAGGAGCCGCATGCAGTTCGCAAGCCGCAGGTTGCCGACCCCTTGTGTAAGTTCATTATTATGTTTTGTGAAAGTCAGTTTAAATTAATGTCTGATAGAAGCCCTCTTAACATCTAGTCGGTATAAATAATATAAAACATGAAAGCTTTGTATAAATAATAGTGTCTCGTGTTATGTTTATTTTTATGTGCTTTTTTTTATTTGAATTATTAATTTTTAAATATTATTGATTTAATACATTTCCTTTTTATACAATGTCATTCTTTAGTAATTGCTTATAAACAAATAATTAAGAGAAGTAATTGCTTTTTAATTTATTAAGTACATATCTATTAAAAGGAGCTTATGATCACCCCTATTTCACTATTTAAAAAAAAGGAAATAAGTCACGGAAGTGGTTTGAACAATTGCTTATCTTTGATAAGTGTAATTGTAGGAGAAAGACTCGGCTTTCACAGTGATTTAAAAACAAAGGGAAAAAGAATATACAAGAGCGTGGGGTGGTGTCTATAGAATAAAGATAATACAAAACAACCATCAAGTCAAAAATGAAAGAAAATTTACTTATTTTCACTATAATTTTTTTTATTATGAGCCCCCTAAATGGAGTGCCCCCCCCCCCCCCACCCGCATTGCGGGATCTGGCGGCACTGTAATTCCGCCCCTGCTGCAATGTAGTAATTAAAACAAAGGTATTTTAAATACCTTTATTTAATTAATACAATAAATGTACTGTTTACTAATTATTATTTTTAACAGTTTAGATACCATTCTTCAATGTCCTCTAATTTTACGTGTGTCGTTCTGTTTCCGCTATTGTTTCCGCTTATGTTTGCATTTGCATTTATTTTTGCGTTTAAGCTTGTGTTCCTTATTTGCATTTATTCTAGATCTAGATCTAGAAAGAGCTAGATCCAGATCTAGAACCTACTACTGGCTTAATTCGTTTTTCCGTAACTTTAGTTTTAGAATCTAGATAGATAAATCGCTTGTATTCTCGAATAACATGATCACTGAAGCTAAAAAGCAAAGATCTATATCAAATATCTAATGACTAAAATAGTTTAATTAAAAAAAACGCAATTATTTATCGTGTTTTTTTTATCTAACTGATTAATTTAGGTTTGGGCTGTCGGTAAATCTAGAATCTAGAGATTCTAGATCTAGCTAAAGTCTAGGCTAGATACATTTATTGTATAGATCTAGTCTAATTCGATGAACTTGCCAGCGTACTGAAAATTTATAATAAAAATAGCAAACAGACGTATCTTTAAAACTATAGACGACAGAAAATTCGGCCTTACAATGCGTGAAACTTTTGAATAAGGCAACATGATCTTCCATGGAAGCCGCCATATTATTGTAAAAAAAGTAAATGAATCGTGTGACATCACTATAAATAAAGTAATTGTTCTGAACTTTTATAATTAAAGTGGTGTTTCTACCAAAGAATATATATATACAAATTAATGTTCGTCTTTCAATAAATCTGTGATTAAAAGTTAGGTAACAAAGAACAATATTCACTACATAAATACGCATTTTACATATTTACACAAATGCAGGTTCTCTCATGTAACCAAACAGATAAAAAAAACAAATAATTATACAAACTTGTAAACAAACTTGAGTTTTTGTAGTATATATAAGATAGATAAATTATATCGCTGTAATTACCATTGCCGTTTTCGAAAAGAAAAGAAATAGGTTTTTTTATAGCTTACCTATGTACATCCTTCAAGCAAACCGTATATTAAATATATATTTAGTCATTTAAAAAACACACCAACAGGTTAATACAAACCTACTAGGTATTTAAGCATTTGTGCTACAAAAAGAAGTAAGACTCAACTTAAGTTTAATATTTTCATATTTTAAGACCATATTTACTACAAGATTTCTACAGATTTAATGACATCTTACTCAAACTTATGACGCTTTGATTCCGTGATAGTGAAAAACTATTATTGTATGTATAATATTTGTTCGCGGTACACAAATACAAGCCAGCATCTGAACATTTAGCTTCTTCTACCAGGATTTTTATTTTCATCGTATTCCAGTTTGATGTGTCATTTAGACCTCTAAAGAATGCAAAACTCCAGTTCTTTTTTTCTGGCAAAAACTAAAAGTAATAGAAAAACAAAAAACAAAATTAGTGACTTGTCTATACTACTTACCGTGAAAAAAACAACATTTTTATACGACTCAATAGAGTTGCTTTATAAAAATCAGAATCTCCCTTAATTTAATTTTAACTTCTAGTAATGCTTGTGTGTATTTTAAAATCAAGCAAATTTAAATATACTATTACGAGTGCTTTACACATCTAAGGTTTACAATAAAATATTCAAATCAATAGTAAAAATTCCTGTATCATTTGGTTACCTTTACTAATATTTAGGAAGATATCCACGCTTTTCTTTAAAGTTATCTAAATAGTAGTGTATAATTTATTTTTTTACTTTTTAGTGCAGTATTACATAAAAGCTGTTATTAAAACATTTTTTACAACAACAAAAAAATTCAGTACTTTAAATGTTTTATATTTACAATAGAATTGCATGACTAAAAACGATTGCGCACCAAATGAACGTGATGATGCGTGTATAATAAGTCTACTAATTTGGACAAAATTTTAATTAATTCATGAAAAATTATTTAGTTACCCAATAAAGTCAAATTTAAAGTCATGTTGTATTGTCTTCATGTTTTGACCCAAGTGTCAACTATGAACCGTATCTGTCAATTAGAAGTGCCAGTAGTTTCGCTCGGGCGTTTCGATCTAGACTGACGATTGACGACAGAGGCAGTGAGTTAAAAAAAAGCTTGTAAAAAGGGCGCTAGAGTTGCTAACTAAATTGAATCAGGTGAGTTCGTTGGCGCCCCGTAAGGTTCCATTTTGGCGCTATCACGTGAGCACTATGGAGCCTACGTTCGTTATAAACAGTGCGATAGCCAATGGATACAATGGGGCGATATAGCCGTTCACTAAACGGAATGTGGCGTATTCGCCGCTGCCACGGCTGGGTGCAATTATACACCCAGGGCTATCTCTTGAACCCTTTGAGCGCTTGTGAATTCGTAGGTCAATATCTTTGGATGCCAGAAAACGCGTGTGATATATAGGAAACATTGGTAAATATGGGTAAAGCGGTCAAGGCTGACCAGTCGTATTTAAAGAGTGCGATAGAATATGGATAAGATGTAGTATTATAGCCAAATTTGAATCAAATGCCGATCGACTACAAAGTCCTTGAAAAGGAGGTCACTATTTATCTCCACTTACCAGCGCCTTATGAGTTATATTTAAAAAAAAAAAAAAACGTACTCGCGTACAAAACGCACCATAACTTCTGAGAACGACCAGCGGGGTAACAGCAAATAATGTAAAAAACAGTAGGTAATTTTAAAAAAATATCATATATATATATACGAGCCGACCCGCAGCGTATCATACGCCGCTATTTAGTTGTTTTATTTTCTACTTTTCAGTAATTCATAATTTGTGAATTCGACAGTACCAATGCTGCCACTTAAAAATATTTGCTTTAAAACACTAAAACTCTCCTCCCCCCCCCCACCCGTAAAAGTAGCCTTCTCTTAGTTTAGAATAGTTTCAAAATAAATTATCTGCCCCTAATAGCCGTCACTAAACCCGATTGTAAAATGTAAACATTTAGAGTGAACTACAGCTCATCAGACCATGCGGGGGTGGGGGAGGTTGATTTATGCCTAGTGAGGAAGAGAGGGGATTGCAAGGCGCGTTTGCAGCTTGTTTTAAAACGGCTCGAAGAAGAGAATTATATATATAGATATATATATATATGTATGTATATATATATATATATATATATATATATATATATATATATATATATATATATATATATATATATATATATATATATGTGTGTGTGTGTGTGTGTGTGTGTGTGTGGGTGTGAGTGTACATTAATCAGTCATCAAAATAATGAGGTAGAACACACTTGGGTGACCGCCCATGCGTCATCGATGTAGAGGGGCGCTCACGGATTACACTACCGCTGAGGTGCCATAATGCTCGCAGGGGAACCCTTGGCGCTTCGGGTCGTACAATCTCCGGGGCGCCAGCGCCTGTTATAGTTTTAACGCTGAATAGAGTAGTATACCTTACCCGCTATGCAGGACGCACGATTAACTGATGCCAAGTGCTAACATAGCTGCTATGGAACTCTGGGCGCCAAATTGTGTATGGACGAAAATTGCACACTCCATGTTAACAGAAACCTTTTTGGGAGTATTCTCAGCAACTCCTTAAAATTTTATAGCACTCAGATGAAAGGTATCGAACCGCACATGACTTCCGTAGCGTTACCCTTGCGAAATTAAGAAAAGATTGTTTTACAGCAATCTCCCCTGAGTGTTCCAATCAACTCCCCAAAGTTTTATGGCGATCAGATGAGCGTTGTCAAACCACATTCGACTTTTACGTTTTATATACAGTATATAGAGAAACATTGCACCCTACCGTGACGCCGCCCCTTGCAAAATTAAAAAAAAAGATTTTTTGCCCAACCTTCCCCTGCAGTGGTCTAATCAACTCACCAAAGTTTCATGGCGATTGGATGAATGGTGTCAAACTGCAATCGACGTTCATTTTTATATACCGTACCAAGAGAAAAAACAAAAACAAATCGCGCCCTGCCGTGGCGCCACCCCTTCGAATTTGAAAATAATTTTTACGCAGAAACCTCTCCAGTTTTATGCTCAACACCTTCCCAAAGTTTCATGCCGATCGTGTGAACAGCGTCACTGCAATTCTCTTTTATTAATTTTATATATCGCATGTAGAGAAATATCGCAACCTCCCGAGACGCCACCCTTGCGAAATTATAAAAGATTTTTTTACGAAAATCTCACCTGGAGTGTTTTAATGAACTCACCAAAGTTTAATAGCGCTCGGATGAACGGTGTGAAACCACAATCGATTTTTATTTTTTTATACCGTATATAGAGAAAAAAGAAATCGCGCCCTGCCGGGGCGCCGACCCTATGAATTTGATTTTTTTTTTCGCAGAAGCTTCCCCAGAAATATTCTCAACAACCTCCCAAAGTTTCACGGCGATGTGATTAGAGGTGTATTTATGTATAAAAGACAGACAGACAAACAAACAAACAGACACACACATACATTGCTTTTTATAAATATACTAGCGTACCGGTCCCCGCGCGTTGCCGCGGGAACAGTAGAAAGTCCGACGAAATATATAAGAAGGGTTTCATCCATGCGTTACTAATCCTATATTCTTAGACGCGTGACCTTGTTTTCTAAAAGTGAGTTATTTAAATATAAACAATGCCTGCGCTTGGATCATAAATATAGGGACACAGGTTTACCTACACTACCGCATGTAAATGTTAATCGCTCACCGAAATAATGAGGTAGAACACACTTCGGTTACCGCCAATGTGTCAGGGATTTGAAGGGGCGCTCTCGGGCGCCCCCGATTACACTACCGAAGAGGCGCCGTAGTGTTCGCAAGGGAACCCGGGGCGCCGGCGATTGCGCCTTTTGAAGTTTTAAAGCTGAATATAGTAGTATCCCTTACACTCTATGCAGGACGAACGATTAATGGTTGCCAAGTGCTCTGAAAATCTGGGCGTCAAATAGTGTGTTGACGAAAATCGCACCCTCTGTCATAGAGTAGATATATAGCATTAGACTATACTAGTAGAGGTTGCTAAGGACGGTGCGAACTTGACGGTAGACGATTTGGCTCGAGAGTATTGTGCGCGTGTTCAATAAAATATTTGAGGCGCGAGTGTGACGTGAGCATGACGCGACAATGTACCGATGACGTAAGACGCAGCAGTGAAGTTAGTTGGGGGTTAGATATAGTAGAAGACGGACGTATTCTTTGATATTGTGCAAATGATCAATAAGTGTGTGTTAATAAAGTTCATGTTATTTCGTAAACGAAGTTGTTGGCATTGTCAATTAGTGTCTGCGGAACATAAGAGTGATTCCCGTCCTCCTCAAAAGTATAATAGTTGCCGTATGAATAGTAGTAGATTTGAATATAGAGAATAGTTATATATAAAAAAACCATCACACCCTCCTCATATCAAATGTTTATTAGTAACAGAAACCTTCCCGCAACTATTCTGATCAACTCTTTAAAGTCTTAGAGAACTCGGTTGATAGGTGTCGAACAGCATCTGACTTTCATTTGTTTTTAATATACCGTATGTAGAGCAGCATCGCACCCTCTCGGGTAGCCACCCTTGCGAAATTTAAAAAAAAAAATGTTTTACAGAAACCTACCCTGGAGTGTTCTAATCAGCTTCTCTAAGTTTCATACATCAAAATGAATGATGCAACTTGTTAGCGTTACTAGTGGTGTATTATTAGATGCTCGATCTCAATTTCTGATTGGATCTTCTAAAGGATAGATACTAATTGCATCATTCGTAAAGTGACGAAACTCTTTCGATGGTTCCTCGACTTACAAAAAGTTATTTTTTTTAACATTCACAAGATGACGAAACTGTACAGAATGATTTCCTCGCCTAACAAAGTTATTTTTAGAAGTGTGACTTTACTTTTAGATTTGAGTTCTCCATATAAACTGTGCGTGTGTATAGTGAAAAATCGCACCCTCTCGTGGCGCCGCCCTTTCGAAATTTAAAAAAATATTTAATAATGCGTATTAACATTCTAAACCAATGTGGAAGTCAAACGCATTGTCAAAAATTTCAAGCAGCATCTACGGCTAAATATGAAGTCTCTATTACTGTATGGCTCGGAGTTAAGCTACAGACAGTGGAGATTGAAAAGGTGGTGGTTAGGACACAATATGAGAAAGACAAAAAATAACATCACTATGTAGGTGCTTGTACCAAGAGGCGGAGTCTTCTTGAAGAACTGACGCCAACAGGGATGTCTTGGGAGATGACAAAATTAATAGCCGGGGATAGGAAAAAATGGAAAGAAATGGTGGAGGCCCTATGTTCCATAAGGAGCAAAGAGGACTAAGTCAAAGTCAAAGTAGGTGCTTGTAGGAAGTCCACTGGGAAAGAGGAAGAGAAAAAGACCAAACAAGTCATGAAGGAAATAGTTTGAAATAGAGAAGGGGGAGGCTGAATTACTAGGGTTCTATCTTCATAAAAATCAAGTGAGTTGACAAAGTGTTGCCTACCCCTATGCTCCTTAGGAAGACGAAACAAATAAAAAGTAGAAAATCAAACGATTGTGGAACAGTGGGTTTCATCGAACCCAAGAGGTTTGGTAAGCCAGTCTCCCGGCTTTAGCCGACGTCCAAACACACACTCGACTCTTGAAAAACCGCCTAAACACTGAAACGCGACTAATACTTACATTTGTCACCCGGGCTCTCGATGGTTTGAATGAACATGTATCTTTCACCTAACCACCCCCCTCCTCCATACACCACGCTCCCAACCCCACCTCTATACGGTGTCCAAGCGTCCCTTTTCACGCGTCTTTTCTTTTGGATATCGTGGCATTTAGACAAGGCGTGTTTTCACTATCGAGCTAAGTCCCAAAATGTGTTACTGTTTCTCTTTTCTGTCTAATCTGTGACCACAATGTTGTGTGCTGACGAAGACCTTGGATCGAAACGTCCATAGTATTTGTAACTGTCTTAAACTTGTGAGGTAACTATCTGTTTTATCACTCCCGGTTTATTTATTATACTAGGTATAAAAAGTATCTTATTTAGATTACTTGTTTGTATTATTCCTGCTAGTTAGGATAAGTATTTATCATTATAATACTTGTTGGTAATATTGTGTACTGGCTGTAATCTATTTTATGACACCCGTATATTTATGATAGCCTACACGTGGTAGTATCTTCAGAGATGTAATCTATTGTTGTTACATTTGTTTTAGCGCTATTAGCCGTATATGTTCATGACTAGCCGTATACGTAATTACAATAAAGCCAGGATCTAACAACAAAAGCGTCATTTTGTTGTGTGTTATATCTCAAGGCCAGCCCTTATACACTACACCTTAATCAGTAATATCTATATATATAATTCTCTTCTGGAATCAGTTAGAAAACAAGCTGCAAGCGCGCCTTTGCAGTCCCCTCTCTTCCTCTCTATCACTATCACTACCACCCCCACCCCACCCCCACATGATCTGGTGAGCGGTGTTCACTATGTTTACATTTTACAATCATAGGGACGGGTTTGGTGACGGCTATTAGGGGCAGATAATTTAGTTTGAAACTATTTTAAACTTAGAGGAGGTAACTAAGAGGAGGCTGCTTTCACGTGGGGGGGGGGGGGGGGGTAGTGTTTTTAAGCAAATATTTTCAATGGCATCATTGGTACTGTCGAATTCACAAATTATAAATGACTGAAAAGTAGAAAAAAAAAACAACTAAATAGCGGCGTATGATACGCAGCGGGTCGGCTCGTCATCCATACTGAGCCTGTGTTACATTAGATTAAACAATATTAAAATATTTGCAGATATTCTTAATTTCTTAAATATTAAAAGGTAGAGCAACAACCTTTCGAATGCAAGTTGAATAAAATAACTAATTAACACTTATGTATGTGTCACCGGTTCGATAACCATATATAATTAGTACTTATTTATACGTGCATTTTAAAATTAAATATCCTCTTACGTTCGTTTATAATTCTTACCGAAACATCGTAAGGCAGTGAATGGATTTGGTTACTAGCAAACGTTACTGGATCTCCTGTCCCGTTTGACCAATCAATCGACAACGAATCAATAGAGGAAACAGTTGTTGGTACACCAGCTCGTGATGCATCACATATCACAGTAAATTTTTTTCCTTCCTGGATCACAGTTGGATTAACAATAGCTGAAACAGTTTTAAAAAACTAGTGTTTGATAATAGGGTCTATGTAATCGAACTATTGCTTAAACGCAATTTGACATTGTGCTGTACATTGTGCTGTAACAAATTGTGTCCTCAGTGCATTGGACCGCATCACTTATTTTCTACAATCTTAAAGGAAATATTATCTATATACTAGACTAACTGTTATCTAGTTAGATAACTGTGGGTTTCGGGGGTCATCCATAAATGACATCACGTCTGTCAATTATCATCACAAAATAACCAGACCCCACATTCAAAAAGAGTTTTTTATCTTTTAAAAACACCGATTTCGGCTGAGCATGGGTCTGACCACACACTTTATATACTGACGTCACAAGTTACCAACTCAACTCTACTTCACCTGCCCAGTTTCCCGCCAAGTCTCAGACAAAATGTTTTTATCGTTTAAAAAAACTATTCTGGCCGAGCATGTCTCTGACCACACAATCCCTTCATATGCTGAGGACGAAATTAGCCTGTATCCCGCCAAGTCCCGATAGGCAACTTTATCATTCACATCTAAAAAAACATTAATTATTTTTTTTAACTTTGACATGATGTGTCTAGAACCCGTGCAACCCGCATGGAAACCTAATACACTATCAACTTAGCTGTCTAGACTCGTGACGTCGTTGGTATTTTTTTTTTGTATTTTATATTAATAGTTTGAGCTTGCTTAAGAAACATGATTTACGCGAACAGGCCCTAGATCTAGTGTCTTTCAAATTGAATTTTGTTCTTAAATTAGCCATTCCATAGCTAAACAAACAAAGATTTAAATATAATAATATTAAATATTTAAGGACTAAAATAGTTTAATAAAGAGGCTCAAAAATGTATTCTGATTTTAAAATGGTTTTTATTTTTAACTAATTAAATTTGGTTTCACCTAGATTCTAGGTCTAGATCTATAAATAATTTCCTTTGACAGCTGATCTTTAGATACTTTGTATTGTATACTTAAATGAAAAGAACTGTTGAAAAATGATATTAGCGTTGGAATGTAATAGAAATAGCAAACGGACGTATCGTTAAAGCTATAGCCGACAGAAAATTAGCTATATAATGCGTTGTATTTTTGAATGGGAAACAAAATCTTCGATGGAAGCCACCATTATTGTTGTAAAATGTAAATAACTCATGTAACGTCACTATTCACTTTAAGTAAAGTCATTTTTCTGAACTTTTATAATTAATGTGGTTAATCTACCAAAGAATAAATCTATACATTAAAAAACGTCTTTAAATAAATGTGTGATTAACAGTCTGTCTAAAAACAAAAATTGTGCAGATTCTCTGCTATAACCTTGCGGACAAAAAAAAAATCAAATAAAAATTAATATTCAAACATGTAGACAAACTTGAGTTTTAGTAGTATATAGATATATATAAATCTGTTTCCCAACCATGCAGGACACCTAGTACGCACGCCTACTCTCTGATCCTCCTCCCGCCTCCTCCCTCTTTCTCCAGGCATGCGCAACAGTGTGTACCCACCCACCGCATTCCGACAACAGTGTCTTTCAGGAAGTCTTCACCTGTCACTAAATATCGGCGTATGCTACGCCGCGGGTCAGCTCGAATTGAATATTTTAGATAGTTCTAATGATTCTTTATACACAATAAAAAAATAAAAATTCCCATTCCTCTTTGACACAACAAGTGCTAAATATAGGTTGTTATTTGTATTTATTAGGAGAATTATTGTAATAAGAATATTGTATTATGTTTTATAATCAGTGTCTGTAACACAACCTTAAAAAAAATTAGCATACTAAAAAATTTAAAGTTATAGTACTTACCCTTTGTCGTATATATCGTCATGTTTCCAACAGTTAACTCTTTGTTGTTCGTTGTCACAACACACACATACATATAGCCGTCATATCGATATTCTGTTTGAAACGTGATTTCCGACCTATACATGTACAACATACATGAAGGATCAGTTTCACCAAACATCAAAGCATCAGTGCCATTCAATGGTGTAAAATGTCTAATATCGTAATCAGCGTTGCCGAATTTCCAATTGATACTCAATTCTTTAGGACCCTGTTATTCAATGAACAGATAATAAAAGAATAAAGACAAAAAGGATCAATAAATTGATGGATGGATGGATGGATGGATGGATGGATGGATGGATGGATGGATGGATGGATGGATGGATGGATGGATGGATGGATGGATGGATGGATGGATGGATGGATGGATGGATGGATGGATGGATGGATGGATGGATGGATGGATGGATGGATGGATGGATGGATGGATGGATGGATGGATGGATGGATGGATGGATGGATGGATGGATGGATGGATGGATGGATGGATGGATGGATGGATGGATGGATGGATGGATGGATGGATGGATGGATGGATGGATGGATGGATGGATGGATGGATGGATGGATGGATGGATGGATGGATGGATGGATGGATGGATGGATGGATGGATGGATGGATGGATGGATGGATGGATGGATGGATGGATGGATGGATGGATGGATGGATGGATGGATGGATGGATGGATGGATGGATGGATGGATGGATGGATGGATGGATGGATGGATGGATGGATGGATGGATGGATGGATGGATGGATGGATGGATGGATGGATGGATGGATGGATGGATGGATGGATGGATGGATGGATGGATGGATGGATGGATGGATGGATGGATGGATGGATGGATGGATGGATGGATGGATGGATGGATGGATGGATGGATGGATGGATGGATGGATGGATGGATGGATGGATGGATGGATGGATGGATGGATGGATGGATGGGTGGATGGGTGGATGGGTGGATGGGTGGATGGATGGATGGATGGATGGATGGTTTTAAGCATGTATTTAGCTAATTAGTAAATACAATTTTATCATAGCGAGTGTCACAGTAATTGCGGCAACGCTCCACTTGTTTAACAGATATTTACGTTAGATTCTGAACCACCACAGCTCAGCAATATACTACACCAATTCATAGAGATTGAAATAATTTTTGGGCGCAAAATATTTTATACTTTGCCCCACCTATAATATGACGTCACAATCATAGGGGGGAGGGGGGTGCGTAATTTTATGACGGTGTGTGATGAGGGGGAGGGGGGGTTCAGATGGTGCGACGTCACACTTTTACATTATAAAAAGAAATGTTAGAATACGAATTTTAGACGTTATTTTACGTTTTAGAAAAAAGTTTTAATAAATTGTAATAACAATTGATTAAATAACTCTATTTTAACAGTATTCTGACAAGATTTCGGAAAAATATAGCTGTTTAAAAAAATTCCAACTGCAATTTTGAGGGGGGGGGGGGGTTGTAGCCTGTGGTGTGACGTCATTTTACGGGGAGGTTCTGTCTTTTTGTGACGACGTCTGACTGAGGGGAGGGGGGGGGGGGTAAAAATCGTCAAAAAAATCGTCATTTTTGGATGACCCCTTAGGCTTAACTGGAAATTATTACATTTATTACTAATGTAGATGTTTTTCGCGTGTGTAGATTTACATTTATTAGTTACTAATGATTAACACTTGTAATAACAGTGTTACCTTCTTTGGTTGTGAATTAGGTTAGTTAAACTATAAAAAAACACTTGCTGAAGTGCTGTATCTATTGTTTGGTAGTTTCAAAAACGATTCATAAATATATTCGCTAATTATGATGCTGTGGGTTGAGGCGTAGGAAATGGATGGGGAGGGGGGGAGCTGTGAAATGAGCTCAGAATAGAAAACAAAACGCCGAAATACTTAACATCGGTCATTACTTTTTCCTTCATAGTAGTAAAGTTGGAAGTGATTTCCTACAACACAATTCAGTATTAAGTGTCAATATTTTATCGCCATAAAGGCCGTTGAAACTAATTTTTGCCTTTTTGCGTTTCATGATTTTTTCTCCTATATGGTATGCATTCGTGGGTTTTCGATTCAGCAACCCTGAGCTTTACCGGCCCTACCATGCTAACCCTACGTAATCACCATTAATGCCGATTATGGGATGTTGACCACTACATTTCTCACCGAAACGTTCTATGGACATAGGTTAAAGTGTACACGTTTACTGTCACATTTGGAGTCTAAGCGTAAACAGGTAAGCGTACATAAAATCGATATTACTGGTTAAATATAATGTTTAAATTCTAGTAAAATACAGCAAAGTAGTTCAAACAATATGGTAAACAAAAATTTTACAATTTAATTTTCCCGCTTTTGTTTGATTGTAGGAAAAAAGTCGCCACATTGTTGTTTTGTTTTTTTTTAAAGAAGAAAAAATTATAACATCTTCAAAATTAATACGATTGACAACAGTATTTGGGCTCAGTAATTTGTTTGCCAGACCATTTCCCACCTTTTCGAGGTACGGGCGAACTATTATTACACCACTGGGAAAAATTGGCAGGGATTACTATTCGGTTTATTGCGAAAGTCTTATGAAAGTTTGCCTATCTTTTACACTACTCAGGTCATTTAATCGCTTTTTTTTTATACTTTCTCATATATGGAGTATAGAGGAAGTATTGTATACGTGTAAATCTCGACGTTTTAGACCTCCCTTTGTTGGAAGAAAGATATTGAAATCTTGTCTGTGTCTTTGTGTTTGTCTGTGTGTCTATGTGTCTGTGACCACAATAACTTAAGCACCTTTACAACTAGGTCGACGAAATTTCAGCTTTATATTCTTTTTATCAAATTTACACAGTTATAACAACAATCCAGTACAAATTATTGCGATTTATGTTTTCACCCAATTTTTTCTACTTTTGCATTTTCAAAAGCCTATATCTTGAGTACTATTTCTGATAGAAGATTTTTTACATATAAGTAATAGATCTAATTGTCTGTTTACCAGCAAATTTTGAGTATTTTTCTTCGACTGGAAGTAGTACTTTCCCCTATTTCCGATTTTACATAAAGCGCATGTGAATTTATTTTTAATGTGATTACTCTGTCATTGTAAATAAAAACTAATGTTCCGCACTATTATACACAGAATATTTGCTGTCCATTTGATTCAGAGGCGTAATGACCCCTCCCGGCAACCGCAGCGAAATTTCAATTTTAAAAAAAAGGCTATATCCCGACTGCTCTAGAGTTGTCATTGCCATTAGTATTATCTAAGAATATTCGAGAACGTTTAGGCGACATCATTCTCGCTTTGTTTTGTATGTTTTACTCAAGAAAAAGGAATACTGACTGTAAAAAAAGAAATGTTTTTTTTAGCGCAATTTCCATTCTGGAGAATTGCGTTTATTAACCCGTCATTTCTGGATGTATGAATGTATGAATGAATGGATGGATGGATGGATGGATGAATGTATGTCCGCAGCTTTAAGTCGTATCTCCTCCTCAACGAAGCAATATCGATGACTGGTTCCAAAAGCAATTATGTTAAGCAAGTTGCGAGGATGAACATAGGCTAAAAAAATTCCGGGTTTCTTTCATGGATTTCCCGGAAAAGCCAAAACAACTCGAAAAAAATGCAGTTTTTTCTCATATCTCGGCAACCAGACCACTTAGCGACTTGAAAAATTTACCAATCGATTTCTGCTATAATTTAGAACAATATTGCCGAAGAAAGTTTTCAAAAATATCCTTTCGTTTGGTCACAAACAGTTTTTTTTAATTAATTAAAATTTGGACCGAATTAGTAGGCATTTTTTCCAACCACATCACACGCGTCATCACGTTCAATAGCTGCGCCATCACGTTCAATGGCTCCGTCATCACGTTCAGTAGCTAGGCGCGCATTGCTTATTAGTCATGTAACTCTATTGTAAATAAAATATGTAAAATACTGGGAAAAAAATTAATAAAAAAACGTTTTAATAACTAACCAATGGTTTTACTAACCCTGCTCTTGATTTACGCTACGACAGAGCTATTTTTAGATAACATAAGGAAATTGCGCTAAAATTGTCACTAGACTTTTTAATTAACTTGTTTTACAAAAACAAAAAAAAAAACATGGCAAAAAAATGCATAAAAAATAAGGTTTGATTTTTTTAAATAATTTTAATATAAACTCTGTGGGTTCCCTAAACGGCCGGCGCCTCCCTTCCTTCCTGTATGGTGGTTCCTTTTATATTTAAAATTAAATGATGAAGTAAAAATAGAAAATATGAGGTTAGTGCAGATTATAAAAATACTCACCCATACTGTACATTTTAGTGTAACATAAGATCCTACAGGATTGAATGACTCATATATACCGTATCCCTCCTGGTTCTGCGGATTTAAACTCATGTACGCCAAGCCTATTTTATTTGCTTAAAAAATAAAGAACCTATAAATTAAATATGCATCATTTACTGTACTTTAAATTGTAACTAAACTCGTTTTTTTTTCTAATTAACAAAAGTATCAACGAATTTGGACATAGTTTTATACTTTAATTTTAATTAAAATACTAAACAAATTTCTTTGGACGGTTGCAATGAGAAACTTTAAATATCAAATATTCTATAATTAACAATCATGATCAACCTCAGCCCATTATGTTTTCAATCTAAACAAAAATATTGGAGAAACCATGTATTGAAATCTTGTAAAATATATATAATCTTTAAGATCTTACTGCGTATGGAAAGATATTGTTGCTGATATTTTGACGTTTCGATATTATTATTTAGATCCATGTATGTAGCATTACAAGAATAATAGCCAAAATCTGTACATGCAGCATCGTAGACCATGATTTCTATTTTCATTGTGTTCCTGTTGTTTGGTATATCTGATGTTCCTTGTTGGCTTCCAGAGAAATTAAAAGTCCAGTTCCTTGGAGGAGATGTATCTGGCGGATACTGTAGAAATATGTTTACACAAACTATAATGTGGCAACTTTTAGGAAGAGCGCAAAATGTTTTAAGAAGCCATTTTGTAACATACTGGTTTTTTTTTCATAAACGTACATCGCTAAATTTCTTAAGAGATCCGGCCAATACATAAATCACTGTTAGCTATAGGAAAGAGTGACTAATGTTGGAAAGATACTGATCAAAAGTTGACTTTTACCTGGGATATGAAAGACAAACACACACACACACACACACATTATGTGCATATACACACTTAGTTCAATTTTGGTAATAACTGTCGGTATTTTGTTTATCTGTGGTTCAGATTTTCTGCCATAATGAGGAGGGAAAAGAGGATAATTTATATCCTCTAAGGAAAAATAAATTAATGTCGAAAACATTTTTTTACTTTAAAGCAATCAATTTTGTAAACCAGACACAAAATGCAATGATTAATGTGTAATTACCAAAAAAAAAGACAAAATATTACCAAATAATACGTATTACCCGCACCTGGGTCTAAATGGGTCTACGACAAATTCCCGAAAGACACTTGCCCGAATGCCGTTTGCCCGAAGGCCGATTTCCCGAATGGACACTTGCCCGAATTTGACAAATGCACGAATGGACATTTGCCCGAATGCGACAAATGCCCGAATATATGCCACTTGCCCGAATGCGACAAATGTCCTAATGCCTCTTGCCCGAAGGTCGTTTGCCCGAAAAATGTTCGGGCAAGTGTCTTTCGGGAAAACGTCCGGCTCCCGGTCTAAATAATGCCACTGGCGAATCAATAGAGTACTGAAGGGTATAAAATAAACTGTTACGCGCTATTGATTTGTACACAGCTGTTGGTCATTGTATAACATTGATGGCTGCAAAATCTCAGACAAAATATCCAACAATATTCTTATATCTTTTGTCTGTGAGATCATAAGTCCTTCACATCAGCTGTCCTGAGATCAAATGTCGTGAGATCATTTGTCCCTGAGAAATTTAGTCTAGGATATTTTGTCTGAGATCATTTGTCTCGTTACCCTGCCGACATAGTGGTCGAGTTAAATGTGACCTCCGCACGTTCAAATGTCAAATTAAAGACATATGGCGCTCTCTTTACAAGCTTTTATTTAACTTACGCCGGAGCGAAATTTTGAACACTTCTAACTGACAGATACGACTCGTAATTGGTACATGTGTCAAGACATGAAGACAATGCATCGTGACATTCTATTTTACTTGATTGGTCGCCTGATTATTTTTTTATAAATTAATTAAAAATTTGACCAAATTAGTAGGTAGTTCTATCAACACGCGTCATCGCGGCAAAAGCGCGTAATCACCTTCAATAGCTGCGCAATATAACTCTATTGTAAATAAAAACTTGTAAAGTACAAAAACAATTTCATAAAAACGAAAAACATTTTAATTACAAGCATTGATTAGTCACGTAACTCTATTGTAAATAAAAACATGTAAACTACTAAAAAAAAATTTTTCATAAAAAACGTTTTAATAAAAAGCTTTTATGTAATGAATAATGCACTAAAAAGTACAAAATGAATTATTTACTACTATTTGAAATCACTATAAAGATCAGTAAAGGTATCCAATAGATACTAAAGTGGCCTTCGCTTTTCTTTATAGTGATTTAAACAGTAGTGTATAATTTATTTTCTACTTTTTAGTGCATTATTAATTACATAAAAGCTTGTTATTAAAACGGTTTTTTTTTTTAAATTTTTCTGTCTAGAGACAGAAAAGCCAGGATATGTCAGGTAAATAAATATAGATATAAATGCTGTCTTTATTTTTTGTAAAACCGAAAGAGTTAACAAATCTGAAAGGGGTCGGCGTAGTCGAATCTTACCATTATGTCTATCTTTGCTTAAAGTATTTTATAAAATATTTATCCCACACATAACCACTATACTAATAATGGACAATTCTAAATTTAACACAGTTTTTAATTAAACACTAACTGTATCGATTTAACATTAATACTGTAACAAACTTAATACTTCTGTTGTGCGATCGGATATTTAATGTGTTCATGCGGCTTTTGCTTCATCTTTAAAACAGCTAAATTCATAACAGTCCTGCTGTTACTAATTTTTACTTCAAAAATTAAAAAAACCAAATAATAATTATTTACTATATAGTTTTTTACATTTTCAAAGACTTGAATATCAAGTATATATATATATATATATATATATATATATATATATATATATATATATAAGCGGGCTGGTAGTGTGTCAGTCCTCCCTTCCTTCCGTCATCGCTATAGAATTTGGAACCATAAAGGTAAACAGCACCATGGAGTAGGGTTTGTTTATATAATGACATAAAGTGATGTTATAGATGCCACTGTTTTAACTCTTTTGCATAACGTAAAGAAAATATTAAATACACGCACATTCCTAAAACATATTAATAGGAACAATGTCAAATATCATTTTCGTTTATATTTCTAGAAAAAGTGGTTCATAATTAAAATTTTAAAATGTTTAGATTATTTATATTATTTTCTAATTAGTCTAAGCTCTCTCAACACAATTTTTTGTTTTTGTTTTTTGGTGTTATTAAAACAGATGGTGAAATTAGAATTATAGAGAATGCTGGAAAGGCTCTCTTTGGTGCTGATTCTAATTACATTGCCAATGTGTTTTCTTAGAACCATAAAAGTAAACATCACTTGACGTACATTTATTTGCATCGCATTGTTTTATTGTAAGTTATGGAGTATGATCTATTTGTTTGATTTTTTTTTGGGTGAATTTTTAATGCTGGAAAGGCTCTCTTTGGGCGCGCACGCCTAATAATATTAGCCAAAATGCAGGGATCATAAAGTAATATCCATATCCACACGAAGCACGGGTTTAAACTAGGTTGGGGGAGGAGAGAAGTCCGGTCGAACGTTTTTGAGAGCGTTGGCTCTTAATTTTTATTTTTATTTATGTGAATATCAAAGTGTATAACATTTAAACACTTGAAAAAATTATGTTTAAATTCTGTAAAAATAAAGTTCTAGGACCAGACGGACCATACACTGAATCTTAAATAGTTTATAATAAATAATTTATTACTATGACGTCGACAAGGGCATAGAGTCTGACCGAAAGATTTGCCATTTGTCTAATTTACTGAGGTGCATGCAAAAAATTAGCCAGAAGTACGGAGCTTAAGTACCGTAAAATCTTTTTGAAAATTATCCTGTTTTCACATAAATTACAGTGACAGGTCAGCTTTGATCTCTTTAACGAAATCTCACAGATATTACACGTTCCTTTCGAATATATGGGGCGATATAGTCAAGCAAAAACTGTTTATAAAAACTGGTATAAGCCGCCGGTCAGTCGCGGTCAGTCATTTTTTAGTCATCGATGAAAGCCTGGAGCCGGACCGCTATTTTCCTCCGTGTCCAAAGTGCCAGATGCGGAAGCCTGTATAATTTGAAGCGACTGCGGCGCCGACAAATGCCCAAACTGACATCCGACCACTTTTCTTTAAATACATAAATTTCGGAAGTTGTTTTTCTAACTATGCCAGATCCTGTCTTTATTATGACTACAAATTAGCCATCTTTGAATGCCTTTACTTCGTTGAAAACAAGATGCACGTATCATCTTCAGTATAACGCACTTCAAAAGACAGCCTTAAAATTATATTGAGTAGTAAAAATACACAAAATTTGACTAACCGCGTCTCTTTAAAGTTGGATTTAACTATTTTTGTCAGCACATCGATTTAATCATCCAGGAAAATTTCAACGTGCTTGCGCGATATTCTATCAGTCTATTAAAATTAATATAGCCCACCTCTACAGAGGCGTATCCAGGTTTTCGTTGTAGGAAGAGCGAAAAGAGCAAAAAAAGGCGCCGAATTTTAACACGTACTATATCGTGTATTATATATATATATATATATATATATATATATATATATATATATATATATATATATATAATTACTAGCTCTATGTCATTACTTCGCTATGATGTAAAATAAATTGAAAGTAGCACTCTGAAGAAATAAGAAAAAACACACAATGTAGGCCGACAAAACAAAAATTGTATCAATAATCTAAACAATATATATATATATATATATATATATATATATATATATATATATATATATATATGTATATATATATATATAGATTAAAATATATATTACTACAATCCAAAACAATGAACGTAACACAATCTGTTTTGTAATTCTTGTAAAAAAAAATTCTTACATAATAATGAAATTGTTTAACATTTTTCATATTTACAAAATGATTTTGTCTATAATGAAAATTTAATATATCTTCATCATAAATGCTAAAGTAGTACAACATAATGAAAGTTTTTAAAATCAGAGTTGGTATAAAACCACGCTTTTCAATGTAATAGAAAAACATTCGGAATAACAGCCTACATTTAACTATATCGGTCTTTTAGTTCAGATCATATATTTTTTATAATTAACTACTGCTTCTTTGTGTTCTTTAAAGATCATTTTTAACATAGTGATAGGTATGGGTTAGATCACTGTATTGATCACACACCTTTTTACTGGTAATTGCAAAAACAATATTCACAGAGTTTTACGTTTCAAAAGCTAATTTTCTGGCGGCATGGTACTTTGGTACATCATTACGCGTTTTTTCTACATGTACTTAACAGATCAGTTCGGGGTGGGTTGGGGGGAGGGGGGTGGGTTCAACTTCATTCACCACTGTTCGTTCACTTTAGGTCAATTATCCAACCCAGTGTATACCTAGGTGTGACATTAATGTCGCTCTACACAATTGTGGTGGTGAGGTGTGTGTGTGTGGAGGGGGGGGGGGAAGATAACCAACTCAGAGTGAACATAGTGTCAGTTTTGATATGACTGTTTTAAACATACATATATATTACACAAATATATGTTACACAAATATATATTACAGAAATAGATTTAAATAAGTAGCAGTGGTATTATGACAATATTTTTTACAGAGGGGTCCATGGGGAAGGGGGTAAGGGGGTTGTAACTGTTTCATATAATTTGTAATCGTAATCACTATCGCCCAAACTGTAAGAATACTACTACTTCATCGTGATGACGTAGTTGACCTTGTCAAAATTTCCCCACCATAAATTGAGGTGTCACCATCAGTTGTATTTGTTTCTGTATTGTAATGTTTTTTAAATTAATCAAACAATTCAAACTGTATATATAAAGTAATTATGTGTAAAGTTTTATGTATAACATTTTCTAATTCAATTATTCGTAAGCAAATACATTATACAGTTGCCTTAAACTTAACACCCCTCTTGCAAAGTGGTACTACCGTAGAGGTTTTTTAAACATTGCAATGCATCGTAATGGTTATTTTTAGAATGGCAAACTGATGCAGCTGTTAGTAAGTGTTGTAAACTTAGACACTACTAGACTAGTACAATAATGCTTAATTGCTGCATGAAAAGAAATCTTGTGATTTACATAGATGTGCCGACCAAAAATATTTTTTTAGCAAATATCATTGTTTAAAATTTTCCAAAAAGGCGCTACTTTGCTGAAAATGGCTCCCCCCTGCGTACGCTACTGCATCTCTACCTTATTATTCAATCAAAGGAAAAAACAGAAAATAAAAATAAAATAATGAATTCATTTGATTTACAATGTTTTAATCATATCTTTTTACAAACTTTTATTTTACTTGATTGCTCATGTTTAAAATGTTTCTATATAATTACTTCGTCCGTCATCGGTGTGAAAATTACGAGCGAAATTTCGATCACTCTTACCGGAATTAAACGAATTAACGAATTAAACGAATAGTCGAGCAAAATTTTATTTAAACTTAAACTTAAGTTGTAAAATGATTTTCCCGCCAAATCATGTTAGTATCAATTTTTGAAATGTCTTGAATAATTGAGTGGAGAGAAATGTTCGATAATAGGCCTACAAGATTTGGTGACCCCATGAAGTTTCCAATTTTGAATTAAAAACAGTTGAATAGTTAATAAAAGTTGCATTAAAGAAGTTTAACTGCAGTCGGTTGCTCATACTGGAGCTTCAATAGATTAATTAAATAAAAGTAAATTTCATCAGTTGATTTGTATTACATTTTGACATTAAATTTCAGACTGCCTTTTCGATTAGTGATTATTGTGTAAATCTACCATACAATGAAACATAAAACAATCTGCATAATTATGTAAACTAAAACCCACTTATTAATGTAAGGGGTATTCACATTTGTCAACAATACGTTATTGGTATTTTTCGACAACAGTATATTTTCTTTTACTAAAGGTAACAAATTTAACTAGTACTAGATGATACACTAAAGATAAAAATTCTCACCGAATTATTGTTAGGGTTTTTATAAGTGTAATATGTTGCATAACTTGAATGATCGTCATAAAATCTATGCTTCCACGAAATACATAGTTGTGTTATAGTAGTGACAGTTGTTGGAACACCAGCACGTGACGCGTCACATGTCACAGTAAAAGTTCCTCCATCCTGTACGTTGCTTGGGCTTACAATCAGCTCATCAGATGTTTCAGAACCAGCTTTTAAATAAAAAACAATTTTACTAGCAACAAATTAATTAACCGTATAATTAACTGTATAGAAACAAAAAAAATGGGTTACAACTTTGTCCTATCGTTTATAATAAACAGGAGACTTCTTTAAGTAAACTTCAGTATTTTATTATTCATACAAGACTACTCCAACGACAGGTCTTCTCTCTTACTCATTCCGTGTTTACTACTTGATAACATTCAGGGTCGGGATAAAAGAGTCATTGATATTACTCTTTTGTCAATTATTAAAGATACCTATGTGTCTGGCGCATAAGAGAGAGAGAGAGAGAGAGTGAGAGAGAGAGAGAGAGAGAGAGAGAGAGAGAGAGAGAGAGAGAGAGAGATGTATGTGTGTTTTTCCAAAAACATTTGACAGAAACCAGTGAATAAGATCTTATACCTATGCACTTAATCACCTAAAACGGAATTCATCTTATCAATATTTTATAAACCAGAAATACAGTAAAATACCTATTGCGGATATCGAAGTACAGTCAAAAAAAGCAAGTAATTCAAGTTTAAGATCTTATACTAATATATGAAAATCTGTTTACCTAAATGATAAAACACGTAAGTAGACGTGCTCCCACAAAAAAAAGAGTAACGTTTATAGGTAATCACTCAAAACTTGATATAATCAATATATTATTTACAAAAAACATTTCGTCTACCTCACTTACGTGTTAGCTTTTGAGAAACCAAAAGAAATTACCACTTCTGTTTACCGTATCATCGATAAATATTTCTTCTACATAACTAACACGGTACTCATATTATTGTGTTCACGTACAGACAGACAAACAGACAGACAGACAGACAGACAGACGGACAGTCAGACAGACAGACAGACAGACAGACAGACAGACAGACAGACAGACAGACAGACAGACAGACAGACAGACAGACAGACAGACAGACAGACAGACAGACAGACAGACAGACAGACAGACAGACAGACAGACAGACAGACAGACAGACAGACAGACAGACAGACAGACAGACAGACAGACAGACAGACAGACAGACAGACAGACAGACAGACAGACAGACAGCCAGACAGACGGACGGACGGACGGACAGACGGACAGACGGACAGACGGACAGACGGACAGACGGACAGACGGACAGACGGACAGACGGACAGACGGACAGACGGACAGACGGACAGACGGACAGACAGACAGACAGACAGACAGACAGACAGACAGACAGACAGACAGACAGACAGACAGACAGACGGACAGACTGACAGACAGACAGACAGACAGACAGACAGACAGACAGACAGACAGACAGACAGACGGACAGACTGACGGACAGACGGACGGACGGACGGACGGACGGAGAGACAGACAGACAGACAGAAAGACAGACAGACAGACAGACTGACTGACTGACAGACAGACAGACAGACAGACAGACAGACAGACAGACAGACAGACAGACAGACTGACGGACAGACGGACGGACGGACGGACGGAGAGACAGACAGACAGACAGAAAGACAGACAGACAGACAGACTGACTGACTGACTGACTGACAGACAGACAGACAGACAGACAGACAGACAGACCAGACCAGACCAGACCAACCAAACAGACAGACAAGAAAACGTTTATGCGTTAGGCGTCATATCACAGCGCGCAGGAGTCTTATGATCATTAAAGCAAAGAGAGAAGTAATGAGAATCAATAATAACCAATAGGTCCAAGTAATAACAGACTGAAAGTCATAGAGGAAGACATACGATCAAAAGTTAATAGAGCCCGCTACGCTTTCACGTTTCTGATTTCACGGTTCATATTTTGCCATATGGAAAAATTCTATCTCCAACACGACAAAATTAGGATACTAAATTAAAATGTCAATTCAGTTTTGCTGTATGGAGCAGAGACATGGAGCAGAGGCTCCAAAGCAAGCACAGAGAAGATACAGACCTTCATTAATAAATGTCTTTTTATATATCTCATCTAAAAACTTTAAACCTATTAAGTAAATAATAAAGTGTATGCAAAGGTATAAAAGAACCTTGGATGAAATGTCTATTTTGCCTACATTTACATTTTACCTACATTTACATTAACCTACATTTTACATTAACCGAATAGCGTTGTCTTTGTTTAACTTTTTTAAAAAAAATGCTATGTTTATAAAGAAAATACGGCGTCTTGTCAGATCTATGGGACCTAATTTGTGTGTGTGTGTGTGTTAACACCCGGGTCGGTTTACGACCACATAACACATATGAGAAGAATTTCACTCGCGGTCACTATTTAGCCCTCCGAGAGGGCCTTACGTCTAACCGACAGTTCTCCAATTTAACAAGGTGCATGCACAAAATTAGCCAAATGTACAGAGCCTAAGTACCCTAAAATCCTTATCCAAATCTTTATTTTTTGTCACATAAATTGCTTAGATTATACATTGAAATAGAGTCTCTTTTTTTTGTAACATATTTTTTGAGGTTTTTCCCAATGGGAAGACTTTTTTTTCTGTTAGTCTACGATCTCAAGATACAGCTCAAGGGGTCGTCCAGCTTTTTAAAAATATATATATAAATGTTTAGCCCGTGCGAGGGCCTTGAATCTAACCGACAGCTTTCCCATGTGTCCGAGTGTTTTGCTAAGATGTGACTGCTTAAGCATAGCCAGGTATACCGATGGTATGTACCATAAAATTCTTTTGAAAATTATCATCTGTTTTTCATATAAATTACAATGATTATATAGAGAAAAAATACTACTAGTCATCTTTGACCGATGAAACTATTTCCCCCAGATATGCTGTTTTTTCTGGTATCCATCAGCTAGGGCCTTGATTCTGACCAATATTTTTTCCAGTGTTCTTTTTGCCGGATGCGAGTGCCTACCAAATTTTAAGCGTCAGTGGTGCTGGCAAGTGCCCCAACCAGCACCCGACGATATTGACTTCATTTCGCCAACAAATTATAGCGTAGTTGTTATTAGTTATCTAGATTTTCTAGATAGTATGAGTTTTACGAATTAAAACAATTTAAACACCCTATACAAATCACAGTAATATTTTTTTTTAAATTTCATTATACAACTACTTGAAAGTTTGGGAAGAATAAGTATTCCAATATAGTTAACAGTAGAAGACTTATGGTCGAAACTGTTAACATTTTTTTTTTTTTTTCTAATTTATGCTATGTATATAATAAACTCTTTAACGTTGCAATGCTATTAAAATGTAAATACCAGTATGCCTTCAAAATAAGAAACAAACGTACTAATTAAGGTATTGTTTATCTGTGACGTAGTTGCTTCTTTCCATCTTCGATTAATGAAATATTAATTATGAGTTATTATTTATGTCTTCAGTATAAATTTAAACGACTTTTTATTTTATCCAAAGGACACATTGACGTTTCTTTAATATGTATAAATGAGCAGTTAAGCAGGTCAATTTCAACCCCTTATCTTGAAATTCTGAGAATATGGTATTTTCCAAGTGCCTACAGCACCAGAGCTATCTTCTTACCAAATAAGAAGTTTCTGACGCATATGCAAGAGGTCGATCTAATTCAACCACTAAAAAACGTATAGTTTATATAGGGTCGAGGTCAGCCTAGGTCAGTTTTCTGTCATGTTATTTTTTACGCGATTATTAATATGTCTCTATTTATCCCGTTAGAATGAGAGTGGAAAGCACATGTTGTCAAGAGCAATCATTCTGCATCTTAAAGTTTTGAGTAACACATAAAAACGACATCCACTTTGCTTTTATACATATATATTACAATAGAGTTTTAAATCGGATTGATTTAATACGATCAATACTTACAGATGTGTATGTCCCATATGAATAAAAACCACGCCACTCTATGAATCAACATGATAGAAATTACTTAAACTGTCTTCTGTATGTCTTATAGCTTGCAGAGATTTCAACTGTTTAGTTCGTCAGTTAATGGTCGTGCCTTCTCGACACGGAGGTTAGTTGTTAAACAGCTTTTAGTAAGGCAACAGCCAATCCTTAATCTCGGAATCTTTATTTGCCGCGGTAATGTCACTGGCTTAACTCGGTTGAAGGGGTGGCGGGGGGGGGGGGGGAGGTGGAGGGCACGCTTTATGAAGGCGCCATAAGGGTAGAAAAAATGCGAAAGCTAATCTAAAACTAAAATATTGCATTATACGCAGTAAAAGATGAGAACATAAATGGCTAAAATAATTACACAATAATATGTAACTGTTAATTATGTAGCGGCAAACTAAATACCATTAAAAGTCATTGACCGGTAAAAACCTCTCACCAACTTTTTTCAGGGTTATAGGGCTTATTTTTGCCATCGCAAATCAGAAGGAATTAGACCGGGTTGGTTAGTAGATAAATCTTATAACGCTTAGAAAAGCAACTCATCACATTCACACGTCATAATGCACAATTTCTCCTAGCAGTAATGTTACCAAATGACGTGGTTAGTTCTTTGTAGTTAAAAGTTACATTTCTATCAACTTTTAAATGAGGGATCAGAGACTTTGACTTGATTGCAACTGTTTTTTTATCTGATCCATTGTATTATAGAGAAAAAAAGAAAAAAGAAAAGTGTCGTGAAAGTAAAGGGAGAGCAATCGTCATAAATAATGGTTTTAGTGTTAAATACCCATGCATTAGGCCTTACAACACAAGGAAGATTACAGCGCCTTTCTATTCACCGTTTCTTTTTACACGAATGATTTTGTATTTCTTTGAGAATAATCACACAGAAAGTGTATCTTTAGCCTAAATATTCATTTTACGCGCTGTTAAGAACTGTTTTAAACTATCTAATTCACCATCTTTGCGTTTTTAAGTGTTATTTTTCTGCTGTTTTGCTGTTAAAATGGTGTATAACTTTGCATAAAACAATGTCGAAACAATTTACTCTAAACTCCATTTAGCGCTTAAGAATGTTTCATAACTTTACTATTTTAAATTCAGCGAGACTTTAGGCTACTTAATAACGAAAATAGTTATCAGATATAAACCAATTTACTACGAACAATTTAGGAGGTTATTATCTGTTTCACAAATTTGTTTGGTGTGGAATTATGGTCCAAAAGATGGCACTTAAATTTGGTATTTGGATATGTTATACGTTACATAGGATACGATTGGATCAATCATGGATGTGTTTTATTTTATAGTATTAGGTACATTCTATGTTTTTGCATTTTAAGTTTATGTATCTAATTATCTATTTTCGTGAAGTTGTTTAAAGAAAACAGTAATGTAAAGAAAACAAATTAAATCAAATCAGTCGTCAAAACGGTCCCGTCCATCGAAATATTACATTTATCTCCATAGAGCCACCGTCCATAAGTGCCACAAATAATGACTCCAGTCAGCTGTTTTTTCTATTTAAAAAATGGCTGTCGCCAATATAATCCCCGGCAAAATTTCCCTCTCATTAAAGTACGCGATAAAAAGGCCCGAACAAGACGGTTCCCGACAAGGGGGTCTTCTATCTTGAGCCACGGCCCATTATAACTAGGAGGTACAAGATGGAAGAATGAAAAGATATCAAACACATATATTCTATGTTTTATGAAATCCACTATCAAGGTAAAGATGCACTAAACTGAAATTATTGAATTTAATTTTTTAAATTTTATTTTTATTTATGATTGGATCTTCGGCTACCAAATTCGCATATCCAGTTTTTCCCCACCCCCCACCCCACCCCAACCTCCCCACCCCACCTCACTATATTTCCGCCACTGCTAAGGTCACAACCTGTAGTGCTACATCTTGTTGTAAGTCATACGCCGGAAGTTTAAACACAAAGGTGTTTTGTTATAGTCAATGAAAGGCGGGGTTGGTTTGTCACGCATTGCCGAACCTCCATACATAAGTCTATTATGATTATAAAAATAGGCTTAAAATTATGAGCAGATCTAGTTTTTTTTAAACAACCTCTGTAAAACCAGTCAGAGGCGTAGCGACCCTTCCCGGCGCCCGGGGACAAACTTTTCGATTTGCACCCCCCCTTCTCAAGATATCGATTTGCACCCCCCGCCCCTCAAACTTTCGATTTGCACCCCCCTCAAGGTTTCGATTTGCACCCCCACCTCAAACTTTCGATTTGCACCCCCCTCAACCTTTCAATTTATTTTTCCAACCCATTTTGGCGCCCCCTAGGGTCGGCGCCCGGGGACATATGTCCACCCTCCCCGCCCCCCCCCCCTCGCTACGCTACTGAAAACCAGGAAGTTAAATAAAACTTACAAGTCGACATTGATGTAGTTAGTGGATGTTTTTAAAGTAAATATCTTCAAATCACTATTGCTGCTTTACACAGTACAATCAAATCAAACGTTGATGAAGACAACCCTTGATCCTTTTATTTGGTTCAACCAACCAAGTACTTCCAACGAAAAAACTAACAGTTTAACAAAAATAATAATACTGGATAAATAGCCCTACGTATTTTTTACCAAAAATTAATATTAAGTGTACAAAATATTTAATTCTTTTACACTCTACAACAAGTATTTACTTAACTGATCTCTTACAATCGTCTTAAACGATGGCTATTGTTAGAAGATAACGCAATTCCCCTATCATACGAGTACAATGGTATTCTGGCCTTGTAAATAACTAAGTTATAATTTCAAGTATCTAACTCGTATAAAAGCATCTAGTCTAGAAGGTGTGTCGGACAAGTGTCCGAAAGTTATTTTGATAATAACCTGTTTACCCTAAAGGACAAAATATAATTAGCAAAATAAATATGTAGGCTTACATATTATTACAAATAAACAATTCCTATTTTTAAAAATAATGTTTTGGCTAGTGATAATTATACAAGATCGAGTGTAATGTAAAAGTGTAAAGAAATAAATTACTAATTATTGGAGAGAAAAAGATGTTTATTTAGTAATAATGTGGCAAAGGTATGCTACTTTTAATTTATAATATAGCCGACACTGTTCCCGAAAAAAATCAACTGCTGACACAAACAACGATTTGATAACTATTTCGATGTGTGCCATAACTCTACTCTAAGCCTTAATTTAACGGATTTTAATGACCTGATTATCGATTCCGTCTAGAAATTAGCAATTTAACTTTTGTGGATAAAAACTGGGAATATTTTAGATAACAAAAACACATTTACATAAATAAAATACTCACAATGGAGGGAGCAACTGCTTAAAAGCAGCAGTTATTTAAAGGACAATTGCAGAACACATGCGGAGATCACTTACATTCAATGCGAAATCTTTTTTACGTTAAATTCTTTTTGATCGAATAGGTGTTTAAACTGGTGATTAGTTGTTTGCTATTGTTTGTGTAAAAATGAAATACTAATTACTGACGTTGAAATAAACAGTCCGCTATGTTAAAAGAATGAAAATAAACAATACGAAAAGAAATAATTCAGTGTCTAATTTTTAGTTTCTCGTATATACGAAGTATAGAGAAAGTATTGTAATCGTGCAAAAAAAAAATCGAGATTTTTACAAATCTCGACGTTTTACATCTCACTGATACGGAAAAACATAATTTTGCAATCTTGTCCGTATGTCTGTGTGTCTGTCTGTCTGTCTGTGTGTGTCTGTCCGTATGTAAACACGATTACTTGAGTACCGTTATAGCTAGGTTGATAAAATTTCATATATAAGTATTTTATCAGAATCGTAGATCCGTATCAACTTTTGAGCGATTTCCGATAACCGGAAGTGGTACTTTTCCTACTTTGAATTTTTCAAAAGCCTATAACTTGAGTACTATTTCAGATACATAAATGACTAATTTCCGTTGACCGGAAGTAGTAATTTACGCTACTTCCGATTTCTCAAAAACTAATGTAAATTTTTAAAGTACTAATAATATTGCGCACTATTATGCACTTTTCTTATTTGGCATTCACTTGGTGTGCAATTCTTTTGTCTACGAGATTTTATTCTTTTTTAAAACTTTAAGTATTTAAAATTGATTAAAAATCTTGTCTATAGCCCGAGTTCCCATCCCCTGTTATTTTATATAAGAATATTCGAGAAAGTTTTGGGGAGGTCACTCCCGGTTTATTAAACTAGATAAGCAAACAAAGAGCCAATACATGCCAGCTTATGTACCGAGCTCGCACTTGCTAGCTGATGTATTAAGCTCTCAACTTCTCACTCATAGACAGTGTCCAGATTGTCAACTATACACAGCCCAGGGATAATAAGTGCAAGGGACCCATGTACTTTCAGAACCTACAAAATTCCCCACAACGTTATTTTACTTCGACGCACAATACATCCTGGTTTACATTACGCATTGCTGAAATATGTATTTAAATTTAGTTTCTGTAACAGGAAGTTGAATCTATGTTTCATTGTCCATGTAACTTTTCTCTTCAAAAATAGTTTATGTAACTTGTTGAAACTGTTCTTAGCTAAAGACATTTTTCCTCCATCCGTAATTCATTCCCAACCTGATTATTTGCCATGTGTTGATGATTGTTCAAATAGCAAAATATTTATTTATTACACCATCTAGTTAGACAGAGATGGGGGCAGTTAGTTCAATCAACGAACTCTCAAACCAATTTGAGATATCTCCTACAGTAGAAACTGTTACTGTTGCTGTTGCTGTTGCTGTTGCTATTACTGATCATGTTCATATTCATATTCATGTTCATGTTCATGTTCACGTTCATGTTCACGTTCACGTTCACGTTCACGTTCACATTTATGGTCATATTTATGTTCATTGCATTTATAACGCAAGAGACAAAAAATTCCAAAGACTGCATAAGGCTTAAGTACTTAATATTTTAAAGTTTAAAGTAACAAAATTTTTTTTTTTACATTCTGACCCAATTGTTATTCTTTCTTTGTACCAGGTCAGGCGTAGAGAATGGATGACGGGTTGTAAGACAATCCGCTGACTCCTGCATCCGTGTACCAAGACTGCC